ACCCCACAGCTCCAGCTGGGCACTGTGTCACAGCTCACCTGATCACTGTCTGTCACTATCGACTATCGGCTAATAATCAAACACAGCTGACATTTTTCTCCCTTGATATGGCAGCAATGTGCTTCAGGAAAAACTATACAGAGCATTATCAAACCGTGAAAACACAACATCTTACCGTTTTGTTGAGTCTGTTTTCAGAAAGATGTTTCTTCTGGGGACACATGTGACCTGTCTTTAATATGAGGTGTTTGTCCTTTTTATCAGCAGAGAACGGTGAAGAGACTGAAGAGTCTGGGCTGAGGAGGAGAAACAGTATGGATGACCGCTCAGACAGTGAGTACAGAGATCAGATCACATCACAGGACAGCAGAGCCAGAGGGATCTGTACTGCAGGAATATTAACTCACAGTCCCATAGGGATCAGATCACATCACAGGACAGCACAGCCAGAGGGATCTGTACCGCAGGGATATTAACTCACAGTCCCATAGGGATCAGATCAGAGTTCAGTAGTGAAATCATATGTCAAAATTGAGAAAAAAAGATTCATTTTTTCTGCAACATCAGTCTGTGCTTCTCCACCTGTGCTGATGCTCCTGTTTCACCATTGACCTGATAGCCTTCCACACACCTGTACTCCTCTCAGTCTATCACCATTGACCTGATAGCCTTCCACACACCTGTACTCCTTTCAATCTATCACTATTGACCTGATAGCCTTCCACACACCTGTACTCCTTTCAATCTATCACTATTGACCTGATAGCCTTCCACACACCTGTACTCCTCTCAATCTATCACCATTGACCTGATAGCCTTCCACACACCTATACTATATCAAAACCCCTCCCCCTGCACCAGCACCACCCACCCCACCATCAGCAGCACCAGCGCCACCTTCAGCGCCTTGAACCCCAAGAGCTCCTGCAGCGCCCCTGGAGAGCCCCCATCGCCTGCAGTCACGTGCTCCCCAACACCCAGCGTGTTTTCCCAAGCCCTGACCCCACCACTGACCCCACAGCCCCCCCCAACAAGACACCCAAACAGACTCCCATAATTGCCCCGATTACCACCCCCAGACCCTGCCCTTCCCCCCCTGCTGCAAGAGGGGTACCCCGAAAGTGTCCCCAGCACCATCCACTGGACGCCTCATAGAGGGTGTCAGAGAGGGCGTTAGGAGCACCAGGTTGGACCCTATGCAGCACTGAGACTGAAGGTGATCGCAGCATCCAAATCCCAGAAGCAAAAGGCAAAAGTCGTAGCCTGAAACAGAGAACCAGAGAGGCCAGGCGAAATCAGAGCAGGAGGAAACCAGGGCCGTCCCATAAGTATTAAAAAAATAAACAGCTCTTAATGTTTAATTATTCACTCCACCCATCTACTACTTAATTTTGCTGTATGACTCTAAATCCCTTTCCGATATTTGTTTCTCTTGTTGCCTTCCTTGTTGCTTCTGTGCCGCTCTGGTTCAGTTGGGCACCTTCTTAAGCGAAATGTGCAACAATTTTCTTTTCAGCTCCGTCCTTGGGGGAGGGGGGGGCACATGACGTCACCAGTGTGCGCATGCGCGTTACAACAAACCGTTTCCGGTGGTGTTGCGCACTTCTGAGTAGAGAGTGGAGTTGTAACAAACTTCTGCTACCAGATATCTTCTGTCGAGGTTGCTCGTCAGAACAGCTACTTTTAGAGAGGCACACACTGGTCAGTCAGCAGGGAGACTTCACCCTGGCCAGCAGTGCACAGTCCTGGTCTGGGAATAGGAAATGGTGTATAAACCCCAGCAACACTGGCAAAGACACTATTCTGACAAAACCAGGGGTTTCTATTAGCTGAGGGTCTGTAGAATAGATCTGAGCTAGTTTTGCAGAGGCACAAATTATTGTTTGGTCCAGAATGAGACTTTTCCCCGTCCAGCACTGCACAGCACAGTGTCAGTTTGCAAAGAGAAAGTGATATAAAACCGCCAAAAACCTTATCAATGACGCAGAAGTGAAGGAAGAACGGGACATTTTCTACTGGCTGTGGGTCTCCGTATCGCATTCTCCCAGTGTTGAGGACGCACAAATCGTTGTTTTGCTATAACTGCGACTTTGTCTTGTCCAGGATTGTGTTTTCTGAGGTGTCTTTTAGAGGGACTGTTATTTTGAAAGGCGCAGCCAACAGGAAGCCAGTGAGTGTGGCTGGTTTCACTCTGCTCTGAGTCACAAGAAACTTCTTGGACGAAATGGGTGCAGCATTCTCAACAGATCGCCGTGAGTATTGGAGATCTTTAGGGTGACGGTTGTGTATCTTCAGGGGGACACTGACTGGACGTTTAATTAATAATTTGAATAATTTCATAATTCTATTTCTTAGTTCAATACTAATGATGATAATACACGGAAGCCCTGCGATACTTAAAATGGAGGACAAGGGCGAGTTTTACTTTCGGTTATACAAAAAAACACGTAGTATTTAGGCCTCTGTTTTATTAACAGTGAAAGGAACGCGGTAGATTTCAGATTTATTTGTCTGCATAAAAGTATTTTTCCAAATCTCTAAATCGGACTGTCTCTGAAATCGAGTTGATCGCTTCTGCAGATATTGAAAGTGAGTTTCAGGAAAGTGTTGGAGGAAATGGCAGCTCGTCGGCCCCGCTGGTCAACGAGCTGAACGTGTCAAAGCAGCAGTGTGAAATCTGGGGTCTCTGCTGCTCTGTGAGGTGTGTAAGAGCGCAGGGAGTCGAGCCCGGGTCATGAGCAGGGCGAGAGCACCAGGACACTGACACCGGTCAGAGCAGCCGCTTGCATCGTGCACAGAGAGAAACGGCAGATCTAAAAACACTTTCTGATGTGTTATTGAGGTTTAGAGTTGGGCCAGTTTTAAAATGACTATATACTAGTGTCCTCACGGCGGGGACGAGTGGGGTCCCATGAGGTACAAACTGGACACCTCCCTGCAGCTGAAGCAAGCAGAGGCCACTGTGTGCAGATTCTGAGCGCTGGGCACTG